TTTTCTACCCCATTCTAAATCATAAAATTATTTAGATCCATGACTTACTTATTCAACAGATAGTTAATAAATTCCTGCCATATAAAAGGTAATCTGTCAGATGGAGCAAATCAAAAAATGCTCTTGTACTGAATTAACACCCCATAGGGCAAAGCACATAAAAATTTTAAAGAATCTTTCAACTAGGGCTGCCACACTGCTGTGAATCAGGGGTAGCAACCTGACAAACCAGCAGAAGATTCCCTAACCATACATTAATAGAATGCCTCCTGTGTTAGTGCATAATGTATGAACTAAACTGCTTATCATAGCATGATCACATCTTTTTTATGAGACAAATTATGTTCACCTTCTATAGATGAATCAGCATTAATATAGGCCACACCACGCTCTTGAAGGAGTCTGGAATTCTCCTATAATAAAAAGATAGAGAATTAGAAACATATAGTTTGTAACCCACCCTCTGACCCCCCACACCTCCATGCACATCCACATTTACTGTATGCAGATTTCTGATTGAGGCTGGTCCATGTGAAGCACAAATTTGACATGTAAGATTCTCAAAAGAGAGTTAGTTTGAAAGAATTTCAATAAAGATTATTGTTAAGAAACAACAAGAAAAACTTTTTTAAGGCTAGCATTTAAGGTGAAACTGTTCCTACACTTATGATAAATGGAAAAGGAGTTAATTTCTTATCCATATTGTTGTTTATCCTTCAAAAAATTCTCTTAGCAAACATGAATGACCTAAGAGACTTTTCAGTGAAAATCTTCCCATGAACATCTTACTATTTAAGCAAAAACTCTTGCCTGATTCACGGGGAATGAGCTATTTCAAATTTACAGTTCGAAAAATGTCTGAAGCCTGGAACATGATGTCAAGTTCTCCTATGGGATGCCACCACCTACTGGTAAAGATTGATAATTGCACATTTTTAAAAAACTGACAAAAAGTGTAATAGTTTTTTTGAGATATCAATGTGGATTCTGAGTCTCCGAAACATGCAACTTCCTAGGCATTTTGAGTGTATGATAGAAAATACAAAAAATATATTTTATCAAGTCTAAGTGATAAAAATAATTTGAAAGATACAAATCGAAGCCTCAAAATATCTAGTCTCTTTCTAACATCAGCATAAATCTTTCTTGTAAAAGCTTCAAACAGGTCTACAGGAGCACTGTTTTTTTGTTTTTGTTTTTGTTTTTTTNGTAAAGATTGATAATTGCACATTTTTAAAAAACTGACAAAAAGTGTAATAGTTTTTTTGAGATATCAATGTGGATTCTGAGTCTCCGAAACATGCAACTTCCTAGGCATTTTGAGTGTATGATAGAAAATACAAAAAATATATTTTATCAAGTCTAAGTGATAAAAATAATTTGAAAGATACAAATCGAAGCCTCAAAATATCTAGTCTCTTTCTAACATCAGCATAAATCTTTCTTGTAAAAGCTTCAAACAGGTCTACAGGAGCACTGTTTTTTTGTTTTTGTTTTTGTTTTTTTTCCCAAACAAAATTGAAGTTTACAGGGTTTCACATAATACGTGGAGTATAGCAGGAGCCAAATAAATATTTGCAGCATGACTGGAAGTAAATGGAATAAATATTAACCTTGCATGTATTTACAGCTAAAGCTTCTATTACACAAAGCCAAAAATACATGAAGGTAAAATCACTTTTCAAGGAACCTAGTAGATATTATGTGATGGGACCTTCTGCCTCACTTTTAACATTATTTAATATGGAGCAGGTCATTATGATATAAGGAAGATAAATTTGAAAAGTATGCCTATTGTACAAGTTCAAGGGGCCTTTAAATGAGGTTAGCTTTAGAAGCTATTTTGGAAAGAATAATAGAATCATGATAGAAATCAAACATGTTTGGAGTATGCTGACTAGTATACCTACTTATTTACTACCACGCTTCTGGGAAATAAAGATAAATTAATTTTAACAATTGACACTAAGTGCCTCTAAAAAGCTCAAAGAAAACTTACTTCTTTGGTGACAAAGGGATTTTTATTGCTGATTTTTGAATGAGGTTATATCGCTTCAGGTTTTTTGGCAAAAACTTTGAATATTTTCTCACTGGATTCACTTGTTATTCTTACACGCTTAACAATTAAGCCCTAACTTTTATTATGAAAATTTATATTATAGCAAATTATCAACTAACCTCTGCCCACTCAGTAGAACCAAGAAGACCAAATTCTTCTGCATCCCAGCTTGCAAACAAAATTGTTCTTCTAGGCCTCCATCCTAAAATATGTGCATACAAGTAAATGCTGAAAAAATTAATCATAAACCCCAGACATTACTAAGCCCAAATTGGGAAAAAAAAAAAAAAAACCAGAACAAAAACAAAGCCTTCACTGGTTGTTTGGAAAGAGAAAATTGTGGTGAGAATCTTTACTTATATAATTTCCTTTTGTTTATTCAAAGCTGATTTGGCAATATAAATAGCACAATTGTATTGCAAAGTGAAAAAATATATAGACATAGTAAAGCTCCTGCAAGGTCATAAAATATTCTAATAGGTGTATGATTGGCTATGAACAGGAAGCCATTGGGGTCTACAGCTGCCTAGAATGAAAGAAAAAAGTGCTAGATGCAGTCAGTGTTCTGAGAGCAGATATAACAGAAAATCTTTGAGAACTCTTCCCTATTGTTCTGATATCACAGGAACAATTAATTGTTCAAGCTCAGCTGGTTGAGTGATTTCACTCCATTCTCTGCCAGAATCAGACAACGGGACTCAGTTAAAATAGAATGTCTGCTGCTGCTG